CAATCATTACCAATCTGTTGATATCAAACATTACCAATCTATTGATATCAATCATTACCAATCTGTTGATATCAAACATTACCGATCTATGATGTCAATCATTACCAATCTGTTGATATCAAACATTGCCAATGTATGATATCAATCATTACCAATCTATTGATATCAATCATTACCAATCTGTTGATATCAAACATTACTAATCTATTGATATCAATCAGTACAAATCTGTTGATATGAAACATTACCAATCTATGTTATCAATCATTACCAATCTATTGATATCAATCATTACCAATCTGTTGATATCAAACATTACCAATCTCTTAATATCAATCATTACCAATCTGTTGATATCAAACATTACCAATCTATTGATATCAATCATTACCAATCGATTGATATCAATCATTACCAATCTGTTGATATCAAACATTACCAATCTATGATGTCAATCATTACCAATCTATTGATATCAAACATTACCAATCTGTTGATATCAAACATTACCAATCTATTGATATCAAACATTACCAATCTATTGATATCAAACATTACCAATCTATTGTTATTAAACATTACCAATCTACTGATATTAAACATTACCAAAATGGCAATCTATTGATATCAAACATTACCAATCTATTGATATCAAACATTACAAATCTATTGTTTTCAAACATTTCCAATCTATTGATATCAAACATTATCAATCTATGATATCAAACATTACCAATCTGTTGATATCAAACATTACCAATCTCTTGATATCAATCATTACCAATCTGTTGATATCAAACATTACCAATCTATTGATATCAAACATTGAGCATAACACGTGTGTCATATTGTGATTGATGACTACGGCTGCGTCAAGTGTACACAAACAGCAGTATATATTTGATGATACTCATTAAAATTGTGTATCTTAAAGAGGTAAAAAGCTTCCGTCTTCGAATCAGACACTTTTCGCATAGTATAATGAACGACGTCTATGTAAGGTTACGTCCGATATACAATTTGATTGCAGAAGGATAGCATAGAGGAACGAGGTTGGATTTGTTATGAAATTCGAGTGTGGATTAACGGAGTTTTCACTCCCGAGGTTAGTCTATATTTCTAAACAATCTTCTTGGAGCATTTCAGAAATATTTCTCCCACTGCTTGTACTCTAATGCTTACCTAACAACTCACTTTACCATATATATATATATATATCAACCTCGTCGGTCGTAAGACCACAACATTCAATGTATGTTGATCATTGCCAGAATTTTAATCGTAGAATGTTTGTAGTTTTAAATTATGGCTAAATTGCTCAAAATTCGCCAACAGCTGAAGGGATGATGTAAATCCAGCTTGGGCCCATGCAGGTAGCAAGAGTAATTTAAGTCCTTATGGTCCCTTGCAAGGTGATCTACCTTCAGTTGCTGGCATTCTATATCCCGATAATATATTGTGTTGTTTTGAAATGATTTAGCATTTACACTGAACGCAAACTAGTTTCAATTAATTTGTGATACTCTAGTCGTTATACTGTCCTTCGCTGACAAGTTTTTATAAAGTATATTGATATATGTCTTCTTAGCACATAACTTTTTGTCGTCACGATATGGCTGAAATATTGCCGATGTGACGTTAAATATTAATTCACTCACTCACTCAACCTCGTCGTCTCCTGTGCACTTAACAGAAACATACAGATGGAGCAGGTGCCCTTGCCAGACACCAAGAAACCGAATACATGATACATTCAGCAATGAAACAGACATGGGTAGTGCTTCAAACCCACACATTGTATGAATACACGTGAATTACACATGATTATGGTATACCACAATCACTGTATGACTAGTACATATGGTCAGCACAACAGCATTGATATCAAGATGTAGTGTATATACTAAAGAACAATATATCAGGCGAAGTACGTATAATGATTAACTGATATTCATTAAAAAACATTGACATATATAGACATGGCATATAGTGAAATGTCCAGTATTCATGGCACATGAAACATGTTATGAGACATGCATGTACTGAAATGTAACAGCAGCCTGTGAATTTAGTGGAAAGGTGACACATACACTTGAATTAACTGAGGCGATTGCATCCACTTCTGAAAACGTGAATACTGCTTCTGTATTCATGACCTTATAAGGATGTTTTACCGCTCACCATACCAGAGGTTTTATTATCTCGGTTGCCATATAAATATATAGCCTCAAGTGGATGAAACGTTGTTCAGTTCCTCGCTTAGTGGAGTAGACGCGATACGTGCTGTGCTTTGCTGTCGAAATGTGTGATGATGATATTGCATCGTTGGTTATTGACAATGGATCTGGTATGTGCAAGGCGGGGTTTTCTGGTGACGACGCCCCCAAAATTGTATTCCCCTCCGTCGTCGGCTACCCAAGACAAGTACGTACATTTATCTATATCATGCCAGAAGTTCATTTTAGGTTTCAACCTTCGATTCAAAATGTATTATACCTATGAAATTTAACTGCATTCTTGTAACTTATAATAGATCATACATCATATAACTTATAATAGAAACAACACTACAGTCAAGAAGAATCGTTTTCAGAATACATGCTTGATTCTAGGGAGGGATAGCTGGACCGAAAGACGTCTACTTTGCCGAAGATGCCCAACTGAGGAGCGGTATCCTAACCCTCAAGTATCCCATTGAAAATGGCATCGTCACTAACTGGGACGACATGGAAAGACTCTGGCATCACACCTTCTACAACAAACTCTCCGTTGCCCCAGACGAACACCCTCTCCTCATGACAGAGTCATTAACCAAACCAAACGGCTAACCGTGAAAAGACGACCCAGATCATGTTTGAGACCTTCAACACCCCATCTATGTGTTTGGGAAATCAGGCTGTTCTGTATATCTATGCTTCTGGTAGAACCACCGGTCTTGCTCTTGACTCTGGTTATGGCGTTACCTGCTCTGTTCCGGTCAGGAATGGTTATGCTGTTCCCCACGCCGTTCTGAAGTCAGATCTCGCAGGGTATGGGCTAACAGACTACATGATGAAGATGATGATGGAGCGTGGGCTCTTCTTCACCACCACCTCAGACAGAATTATTGCAAGTGACATCAAGGAGAAACTGGCCTACGTAGCACTCGATTTCAGACAGGAGATGACTGCTGCATTTTCTTCTTCCTCCCTGCGAGAGAATTACGAGCTACCAAATGGTCAAGTCCTCACTATTGATACTCAGAGGTTTCGCTGTCCAGAAGCTCTCTTCCAACCAGCTTATATGGGCATTGATACAGATGGCATTCATGAAATTGCAAACAAATCCATAATGAAGTGCGACAGTGAGGACCGTTCGGGGTTATATGCCAGCATTGTCCTCTCGGGAGGTAACACCATGTTCCCTGGTTTCACCAACAGAATACAGGAGATTGCAGCTCTTGCCCCAAATATGGAGATCAAGGTTCTTGCTCCCCCGGAGAGAAAGTACTTTACGTGGATTGGTGGGTGTATTGTGGCTTCTCTCTCCGCCTTAAAGGAGATGTGGATTAGCAAGCAGGAATACAAAGAGTTCGGCCCTTCTATTGTGCTTAGGAAGCATTTCTAGTTTATTTTCGGGTATGCAGACACAATATTGTGTCCTTTGTCAACATGGTGAAACTTTTGTCTCTTGGAGCATCTGCGTAAGTTTGTGAAATACTTTTTGTTAGTTATAAAGGTTGATGTTAATATATTATAAATATCCCAAAACACTCGATTCTTGAGGTCGGGGATGGCTACACATTTAGCATAGAACTGAAGCACTGTTTTCTTAAGCTTATATTTATTTACGATGCTGTCCATTCTTGGTGTTTCGTTCATTTCTTCTCACTGTTCACTTGCAAACTACCAAAGGAATTAAAGTATTTCCAAACCTCTATAGCAATTGGTTATTACTATGGTTATTTCTTCTACTAGCAATCGATATTATCCTTATATCTTACTCAGCATCGGGTCACAGAACAAAATTGTTGCATTGCAACAAGAATTGTAATGAAAAGTGTTAGCCTAGAGAAAAGAAACTACATGTTATTTAAGAACTGATGAAAATTATCAATGGTTTTGCTTCCTGGAATACTCTGCCATGCATAAAGCGCACATACGTCATTATTCATTGACTGAACTCAGTAGTTCTCATTCACTTTGAACATAAATGATGGAGCAATATACTTTTCAGACTGATATTTGTATTTTAACACTTTACACTCCTGGCAGTCATACAGATAAGACCCAAAATCAATGCACTGAACTTGACCTCTTTGACATAGAGCCCCGACAGTGAATGGACCAAACACTTGCAGAGACCACGGAGACCAGATACTTGTCCGGACAAATATGTTCCGTAATCCGTAAATTAGTTTGCAACAGCATTCTCAGCCAAAGGCAATCGCTACCATACGAGGTTTTTGTTCTACTGTTGAAGTCATTTTGTAGTAGATCAATAGTGTTGTACCACTCCAGCTCATCGTGTTTTAGCTGTATGTTTTATGAAGCTTAAACCTATCCACCCAGCAGGTACACCAAGAATACATGGCCTATTTCAGGAGAAAAAAAGCAATAACATCGATAGATGGGTGTGCCGGTGTGCCTGATTAAGATGTTATTGTTGTTAACTAAACTGTGACACTGGTCCACTGTAACTGATGTTGTTGATGATATTACCAAGTTTTCTCCTTCAACTTTGTTTTATTGTTATATTCGTGCATGTCTAGCGGTATATCGGTGGAGGTTTCTAGGAGGTGCAGTTCCCTGTGAAAAGATATACATTCTTAGGGAACTCAAGTTCTCGGAGTATGCAACTTATTCTATCCGGACTAAAATGTGCTCTTAGGTTAACATATCTTCCGTCCAGATAAGCTGACACGTCATTTAACGAAACCCTAACTCCCGCATGCTCAGCAGCGACGTGAAATGGATGGCACACCATGTCAGACACAATCATTAAGACAAAAACGTTATTTAACTTTGCAACATCGATATATTTAGATAGACAAAGTTTACAGTAACAAAAATAACATCAACAGTCAACATGTTTCAACAACATATGGAATCTCTCGTCTTGCAAACTGCAATCCTTTCCGCTCTGCAAGAAGCAGACTCCATATCTTACACCATAAGCTCCCTATCAACTGGACAGTCTCCATTCCAAATTAATAGCACGTAAAGGGAACAAAATAAGACCTAGTTAAGAAAACAGTTTTAACTCAAATGTAGCAAAGAGCATCAGCTGCGAAGAAAGAGAGAAACAGATCAAGAATGGTCGATTAGGTATCGCTGACATCCGCGGAGGAAGTCCCGTAGCATTCCACAGGGCCGACCTTAAAGGCGCCCGCCTCGGTTCCGTCGTCACCTATAGAAGAATATATGCCATTGAAGCAGAAATGTCGCCACAGACATGCATAGTCACATCGCGTCTGCGCATGATAATAATCTTCATGCAGGAAGTTGAGGCGAGTGTGTAACATGCAAGAATGAATTAAAGTTTGTGCAAAACGTAAAACTTAATAATGCCCTTTACTGATCTGAGTCGGAAGTATCACCTGCGCATGTCAGGTTGCAACGCCTGTGCAAAGAATTCTGCCAACTGTTGCGTATCCGGCCTCGTCATCGCCGCCTGAGGATATCGAAAAAAGCAACATTGTATGAGGGAGTCTAAGAAATAGGGCATATTTGTATCAGACCTACAGCGCCTAGAACTATTCTGAACGCATCTAGATACTCACCAATATCGTATCTGAAATAGCTTTTACAGACTACACGTGCTGTCCTAACCGAAAATACATACACAAATTTCTTGTGATTTTGATACAAATTCTAAAATTTAATCATACAAAAATTTTGACACCACGTGACTATGCCTCGGAGCGCCCATTACCTAGAAGTGATTGTGATCATGTGTTTTGTTATTGTAGCCTAGATTATGAGCGGTCCGAGGTTATGTCACGTGATGTTTTCTGAGTCTTCTGATCGCTGATTGGCTGGGAAACTGACAGCCGGTGTCTAGGTAAGTACGCCCCAACAGAACAAAGGTCCGATTGTTTTATATCCTCCCTCCATCATTCCACCTATGAAAATATCAAAACAATTTATGAAGCTTTCGTATTAAATTAACTAGACCACTGATTCGAAATATGCGTTTAAAGGAAGTTTCTGTATGTTTTGATGTCACTCGACAAGACTCATTATTGACACAACTTGCTAGTTGTTGCAGTGTGTAAACCCAACAATCCGATTACAAGCCTACAAATAATTACTTCTTCATGGATGACTTATTGTAGAGTTTCCACTTGTGCAACAAGCATACTGCCAACGTACACACAATACGTACTTTATGTGACCTACTAGGCAGTCCATGCATGTCTCTACAGTTTGAAAGAGGGTTATGTTCTACGTCGGGCATGTAACTATGTTCATATTTTCGTCAGTTCATCAAGATTACGAGTGATGTACTAAAGACTGTATGGCAAGACTGATCACTTCCAAAAGTCAGCATTTACCATTATGTAGCAATGTTCCTGTAGTGCCAACCTTTGATGTTTACATTTAACAAAGTTTAAGTAAAATTCAGCCTTTTCTACCAAGATTTGAAAATGTGGAACAAGCCTTTTGCTCAGATGACATGATTCAAGGACTCATTAAAACTTTCAATATGTTTTGAAGTAGAAATGTGAGGAATATGTTCAAATGGGACGCAGCAGTCACACATTGATCTCCTAATCAGTTGCCTCCTTCAGGGGACAAATTGGCTTTCCTTTGTATGTGTTTGAGACGGATGTGCCGTCGCTCTGAAATTCCTAGAATATTCCTAGAAAGCTGTATAAAACCCTTCGCACTCAAATTCAATAAATGTTTCATTTGGTAAATTTGTTGATTTTGTTTACTACATAAACGCTAGTTCTAATGTATGTAATCTTCAGTTGAAAACCCAAATTTAAACCAGATGTAAACCAAATACAATGACCTGTTCGCAATTCCGTTATATATTGATATGTCAATGCAGTTACATATCCATGCTTCAAGCAGGTTTCACAGCGGCACTTTGATCTACGCCAAAAATACTCAAAGCAATTAGACAAATACTTTGATTGGTTTGTGTTAAATTGTAAGAAACAATCGACAAACTATATTAACCAACAATATGCATTTTGATCTCAGTAATTAGAATGCGGAGCATACATGTCAAAGAAGACTAAGAAACCGAGTTTAGTGTTCCCGGATCTTGTATTGTGATCAGCATAATTCAGGGCTACTACTACAACAACACGTGGCCGCACATAGTCTCTTGCTGAAAGTAAGCGCAACATTATCCTGGAAGACAAACGATGTATTAATTATATTCATGTATTAATAAGGCATATTAACTATTTCTTAACAGCTGTTACAGAAAAACAGTTAATACTGTGTCAATAGCTACCATTTGAAAACATGTTTTTTATGAATGTATCGCATGTGTTGATGCAGAGGCTTGCTGATGTGAGCAATAGCAAATAGATCTATGCTGAAACTGAAATTATTTCAGGAACCTTTTGACAAATCAGTTTTAGACTAATCAGTTCTGTGAGCAGAACCGATGCTGTACCTAAACTCTGAATTGGTATTTTGATCAAATCAAACTTTTAGCACTGAAAGTCTTCTACTGAGAAGGCACAAGCGGACGCCACGGAGGCCGCCATAGCTTGACGTTGTCACACTGAGAAAACATTAAATAATACGTTACATACTCAAAGACATGAGTAAATCTGATATAATTGTCATAAGGCACACGGTATCTGAGTATATATAAATAATGTGTCATCCATGGCAATACATGTATTTATAACGCAAATAGTATAAATATTGTAGTGTACTACAGACGTAATGAAATATGAATACCCATATTGCAAACGAATTGTAATATCTCTTCAAAACATTGTAAAAACCACAGAGAGAATGGTAATCTAATCTGAATTTATCACTTGATGACCTATTATTTGTTCGTGATGAAAGGAGAGTAAAATGTACACTGGTGTCAGCATTACATGGATACGATCCTGTCGACAGTTCTTATACTCCACAAGTTAGTTCCAGTGATCTAGTGTTGATACAGATTCTATTCGTCCAGTCTCAACCTATAATTACAGTGCTGCGGTGCAGCTCGGGCCGATGTATTCCAATTGTCGACCAATCCGCCTAACGTCCCTCAAATATGATTGTTGTGTCATTTACTCGTATTCATTCAGAAAATGGTAGAGTAGTGTTCTGCTTTCTAAATAAAAAATAATACGAAACAAGGCTTGTTGATGGCTACTTCGTGAGAAAGCCTTACGTTCACATTTAGATTGGCCTACAGGTGATGGGGTAAAAACATATATCAGTTACAGAATCGATATTAACATATCAAGAACGGGTAGATGCATGTTTGTACGAGTACCATGCCGGTTAAGACCTATATTCCCCCAATTATCGCCTCTTCTCGGCAAAACTGTAAAAGTTGACTTCAATGATTGAAGGACTTTAACCTAAATTCTTACACCCTGCTACGTTGTTTTCATTATATGCTTTTAGTTTTTTTGATTCCATAAATTATCAAGATTGGAATAGAAAATATCACAATATGGAAATATACCTAGTTCTATTATTGTAATAATGGTCGGCATGACATATTCACTTCTTGTGCTTATAGGATAAGCAAAGGGGTATAACAAAACAAATGCATTCAATGACAGGAGGCTAATGACTAAACTATACACTCTTACCTGTGTCCCCCGCCAGGAACTCAGTGACAGGCAGGTCCGGCTTGTAGGACAGGTAGCCGGAGTCTTCCCTCCAGACTTCGTCGTTCTTGTCGCAGTTGCATGCCTTGTCGGGTCTGCACATGACCCAGTCATGCCACAGGTACACATACCACTTCCGGGAGTGGCATCACCAAAGTAGTCTGCAATTCCGCCAGTCCTGTTGCGCCACCCGGTAGTGATGACACCATTGGCATTGGGGTTGTGAATCAAGGCGGCCTTGCACTTCCATTGTACAAACTGTCGGCAGTTCTCACTGGCATCGATGATGGCGATGGCGTGGTCGAGGGAGACGTTGTAGTTAAGTCTCAGAACATATTCGCCAGCTCCTTCGTAGCCCACGACTTCTTCCTGCTCCTCCGAGTCGTGTCCTGTGCAGAACATTATGTGAACTGAGTATCTGACATTACAGCTTGATTTGTACATGGTGTTAGGATTCATAGAGACTATAATATGTTTTAGTGAGTAAACGAGTAGGACTGTGAGCCACTTTTAGTAATATTTAAGCTGTATATCGAAAATAGTGACACCAGAAATGAAGCTTCACACCTTGTACCACTCAGATAAAACCGAACCTTGCAATTTGGTGTAAAGAACGAACACTTTGACCATAGGCCTTGATGACCCACCAGTCTTCAAAGATCAGGACTAAACAACATCAGCGCCATGAATGTCGGCGCATCCCTGGTACGGTGTGGGGTTACGATAACATTCGCGTTAAGATCGCCTTGCACAGCGGCTTTTTAAAAAGGTAATGTTATGAAGTGTTGTTTGTTTTCATACTGATGACTGTGACGCCAGTTCCATTCTCAGATGTCATGTCACTGAAGTAAACAAGGTAGTGAGTTCCATCAGGCCCTCAGCGTCGATCGGGTCGATATCGCCATGGTGTGACATCAAATACGATACACCCCATTCTGGGAACACGTGCGAGCTGTGTGTGAAAATCGGTATTTGACTGTAAAATATCTAAGTTGGGATCATAATATTATTTTTCCAACACTGAAATGTATCCAGATGCACGTGAGTTTAGGGGCGTTTTCAGCCTTGTTTGTCATGGCATATTTATGTCACGCGTTTGTCGATGGTTTGGATCGGCGAGGGAATTGAGCGTGATGAGACACTACGTATGGGGCTGTTTCTCAAAGATATTGCGGTTGGTATTTGAATTGGGATGATGAGATGATGTGAGGAAGTTTTACC